TCTCCAATGGAAGATGTTTTTTGAATAATTTTGGCGGCAGAAAAATTGAAAGTGTGATTTTCGGACCAACAATGTTGCGCAACAGAAGACTTCTGTGTTTCCTTTTTTCTAACATATGCCTCATGTTCTTTGACGCGAAATTTTAAGGCTCTCTTAGTTTGGCCAATGTAAATTAAACCACACTGGCAAGGAATCCTATAAATACCTCACAAACCTCTAAACCCTCGATTCCAAAGATTTTGGCTCCTATCGAAAAAGCTTTCAAGTTCAGTAAAGTTTCAGATTCACAGAAAGAAATGATTAGGCATCTTATCGCTCATAATGTGAAATTCAATAATAAACCTTTAAAACCAAATCTAACTGCGAGAGAAAGAGCTACAATGCGCGAAATTCATTCTAACCCGGATATTCAAAGGCCGACAAAGGTGGCCAGATAGTCGTCATGGATAGGAACACTTACATCGATGGTGTCACTAAACTCTTAAACGAAGGACCATATAATCCGATCCCTAAAGATCCTTCACCTTCGGACTTGTCAAAAGTAAAAACTGCGATCAAATCTTCGCAAATCATTTTAAGCAACTTAAAACATTCGCTTATCCCACCTGTTGCAAATTGTGCCAGATTATATGCTCTTCCCAAAATTCATAAAAGTAGTATTCCTTTCCGCCCTATTGTATCAAATTTAGGTACTGCCTCGTATCCATTAGCTAAATATTTAGTTTCTAGATTTTCAACTCTATTAGACAATAACATTTACACCATAAAAAATTCAATAGAGTTTGTAAAAAAGGTTAAAAACATTTCTCCTAGTAATTCACTCATGGTTTCTTTTGATGTAAAATCATTATTCACCAATGTCCCAGTGGAGGGTGCATTAAGATGTCTAGAAACCAGACTTCGCGAATTTCATTTCTCTTGCATCGAAATTGATGAGCTAATTTCTCTCACTCAACTCTGTTTGAAACAAACACATTTTGTTTTCCAAAATAAATATTACAAGCAAACTGAGGGATTAGCCATGGGAAGCCCCCTCAGTCCCATCCTGGCTGATATCTACATGCATTATTATGAATCAAAATTGTTTGAAACTTTAAACTTCCCGGCATGGTTCCGCTACGTAGACGATACTTTTACCCTGTTTGAAGGTAATAAAGATGATTTAAATAAAGTTCTTTCAACAATGAATTCTATTGATCCTGCTATTCAGTTCACTTTTGAACTTGAGACTTGCAATTCTCTTCCGTTTCTCGACATTCTGGTCACACGTAACACATCCAACTTCAGTACTACAGTTTACCGTAAACCTTCATCGGTTTGCCTTCCACCACACTTTAAATCATGTCATCCGACTAAACAAAAGTTAGCTTCATTTTATTCCTATGTTTTCCGTGCTCTTCAAGTTTGCTCCTCCAAACTAGCCCTTGATGAAGAACTAAATTATTTAAAAGCAAATAGCTATTGACAGGGGCTTTTCACCCAACATTATTAATCAAGCAGTTAAAAAAATTCTCATCTCAACACACTAAAAGGCACACTCTTATTTTAGGAGATTATAAAAATTCTGTTGTCATTCCCTTCTTTCCATCAATTAGCTATAAAGTTGCACATATTTTGCAGAAATTTAACTTTCGGGTTGTTTATTCTCCCATCAATAAAATTCCGAGTTCCATACTCAAGGACCCCATTCCGGATATGAATTCCTGGGGTATTTATAGGATTCCTTGCCAGTGCGGTTTAATTTACATTGGCCAAACTAAGAGAGCCTTAAAATTTCGTGTCAAGGAACATGAGGCATATGTTAGAAAAAAGGAACCACAGAAGTCTTCTGTTGCTCAACATTGTTGGTCTGAAAATCACACTTTTAATTTTTCTGCTGCCAAAATTATTCAAAAAACATCATCCATTGGAGAACTCTATTTTCTAGAGGCATTTCGCATTCATAAAAATCTTTCTGTTCTAGTTAACGATCCTAATTCCAATCCAAATTTGCCTTCGGCCTTTAAAGAAATTATGTTTTAGTTATGGTTTCACCAACAGATGGCGCCACTTGCTTATTCTTGTCCAGGCTTTTTTATCTTATCTAATCATTATTTCCTATCTTATTCATTTGCGGTTTTGCAGCTGAGGATGATGGTTCGGTAAAACCATCGAAACTAGTCCTGTGAAAATTTTGTAAATATAACACTGATTTTTGTTGTTTGACTTTTGAATTAGTATTTATTCGGCGTGTTATTGTGTCTTAATTATTTTCCTTCTCTAATTATTAAAGCAGTATATTGCATATGTAATCCGTTGGGAAATTTGCATTCCCCCTTGCATATGTGCAGTGGTGAAGAAGATACTGTCCCATGGTAGAAACTATAAAATATATGAAAACTATATGTTCTGATTTGTGCATACAGTGTGAGTATATTGTCCTGGTTATTAACATGGCCAACATGGAATCCTGACATGGAATTTATGTGTTGAAGACTAGGACAGGAGTAGAAATCTAACATAGTATCCCAGACAGCATTTCCTACAAAGTCAAGTACCTGCTGATCTAAATTAATTGCCAAGTAGATTCTTCTAACATAACGCAGCAGTTTATATAAAGTCACACAAGGAATTGTTGCAATCAAGTTGATCATCTGTTACTCACATTATGTTTTTCCTCATATGTCGTAGGTTAAATTGACCTGTTCATTTATTTCATAAAGCTCAAGGAAAGCACCTAATAAATTTATGTTTTACTTATATCAAGCATGCTCTTTTGGTAGGCAACAATACTTAACACTATGCAAATACTCTCAACATCACCAGAAACCAAACACATTATAACAGATTATGAAGCCCAGTTCCACATGTGCCCAAGAAGTCCACTAGAAGTGTATGTCTAAGAAGTAAGTCAAACATCTGTGTTTTATTTTTTTTTTTTTTTTTTTTTTTTTGTTGTGTGTGTGTGTGTGTGTGTAAAACAAGAAAGCAATTTTTTCTTGGCTTTTCTGAAATTATACATATCTGATTAAAATGTGAGCCTGAATGTGAACTGACATATTCGATAGCACTAACTTTGAGATATGGAGTTTCCAAATTAAAATGGTTTTAAGGCAGTTAGAACTTAGGGATGTTGCAAATGGGCAGTTATTCAAACCAGAAATTTGTTAAAGTAACCACAGCAAACATAACAAACGGATCGAAAAAGCTCTAATGATTATTGCCCCAAGCTTGAAATCACTTGAGGTAATGCCCATTAAAAAATATCAAACATCGTATGAAGCATAGATGAAACCGCACAAAATTCTTCAGCTTAAAGGTCCTATTACTAAAGAAAGCCTTATGAAGCAACTTATCTCAAAAAATATGAAAGCAAACATAAAAAAAAAAATAAAAAAAAAGGAGGATTACTTAAATTTTTTCTTCAAAATTGTACATAAGCTTGCAAAAATAGGATCTGAAATTCCAGAAGAATTCTTAACTATTTTGCTACTATGCAACTTAACTGAAGAATTCAAAAGTTTCAGAAACATGTGATAAATTGCCTTAAATATGCTAAAAGTTAAGTTACTAAAACAATCTTAAAGTCTCCAATTAAAAGTGCAGGAAAACGGCCAAGTTCAGGATGCGTTAGTTATTAAAAACCACAGCAATGCAAAGTTGCTAAATACAAAAAAGAAGTCTAAGAATGTGAAAGCGTTTAGGTGCTATAACTGCAAGTGAAAAGGACACAAAGTGTTATAATACAAGAAAAGCTAAAAGCAAGAATCCTAATAAAGATTCCACTAAATAAAATTTTCCTTTGAGCTATTGTCAGTATAACACAAGAAACAGAAACACACAACTGGTATTTTGATTCAGAAGCAACCACATACATGTGCAATAACAGAAGTAAATTAATATAAGTAACCGAAATAGAAAATAAAGTTCAGTTACAAAATAATGAATTACTAGAAATAAAAAATTTAAGCAAATGTCAATTCAATTTCACAACACATAATACTTAATGACGTACTATACATTCCCAAATTAAAAATGAACTTAATTTCAGTTAACTTCATGACACAATAAAAATATACTGTTTACTTTAGAAATAACCATGTGTGAGCTATAGATAAAAATAAGCACGTAGTCTTAAAATCAATGAACCAAAATGGCCTATATGTTGTAAATCAAGAGCCTGAGGTTCCAAATGTTGCAAAGAGCAATACATATATGTTAAACAGTAAATTGAAACATTCTAATAAGTTGATGCATGGTCTAAAGAATACAAAATGTAATAACCAAACCTTCTTTTGTGAAAATTGTACAAAATGCAAACAAACAAGGTTAGCATTCCAAAAAGAAACATGCAGTAAACCGTGATATTCTTGAATATGTACAATCCAATATTTGTGGTCCCATGAATGTCTCACCTTTAAGTAGCACAAAATAATTCACAGATAATTGTGGAAATAATCTACAGAAAAAGTTCAGTACAAATTTCAGGTTGAAAAGAAAATAAGAAACAACTGAAAATACTCTGCAGCCATTATGCAAAAGAATTCAAAAGTCATGAATTTGATTAATTCATAATAATTCATTACAATTCACAACAGAAATGCGATTTTTTTTCAGAGAGTTCAGTTTTCTTCTCTAATTGTTAAAACAGCATGCTGCATATGTAATCCTTCGCTATAGTTTTAAATATACATATTATATAATTGCAAAATCTAACACAAATAAAACTATATCTCAATATATAAAGAAATACTAAATAATTTATTTTAAGCATAACACACTTAAAATAAATTATTTAGTTTTTCTTTATATACTTGAAAAACAATTTTTGGTTCTGCTTTCATGTGTTAATTTTTAAATGCTACCAAAGATCAGAATTAATGCTAAAAGAAAAGATTTTTTTTAAAGGTTTTAATTTAATCTACCTTTAAATCTTTTTATTTTAATAACTGCAAGATGAATACCTCTATTTTACAAATCTTGGAATTTATTTGTTAATATTTAGTAGTTGGCAAACATACTAGCAACATCAGATCCACAATGAACTTCACTAACTCCAATACAGGCAACTTTGTCTCCAGCAATTGTGGGAGCTAGAAACTCTTGCTTTAATTCTTCACTTCCAAATCTAGAAAATAATTAAAAATAAATACTTTATAAATCATGAAAAGTTGAATAAAAACCATTTTTTTTTATTCTATGTTCCATGAAAAATTACAAAACTTAAATTATAAAGCATTGAAACATTAGGTACATTGTTTTTTTTTAATATATATATATATGTGTGTGTGTGTGTGTGTGTGTATTTGACAACTCTATAAACAAACTCTATAAACAACTCTATAAAGAAATTTAAAGAGAAAACGTAAAACAAAATGGTTTAAATTGTATACATAATAAATTTGTAATACGGCAGGATACTATATGGCTTATGTTGCCAATGAAATACGTTCTCCTTTTAGGTTATTATTTCTATTACCTCCTCATAAGTAAAAAAATGTTTCAGTGTCACTTTAAATGTGTTAATCTTTTTTTTTGGGGGGAGGGGTTACTTTTTGATTTTTTTATCATCTTTTTGAAACTTGTAAGTAAATATAACTTCCACTAATACTAACTAAGTGTAATATTTTTTAAACTGAAAAACTGAAACTACTACATTGTTTTAAAAAATAAATATTGTAGTTTTACAATAAAATGGAGATACAACAGAAAAGATTTTGTAACTTCATGATTACTTTTCTTCTTGTAAAAAAAAAAAAAAAAAAAAAAAAAAGCCTTTAAATTTTATGTGTTTACACTTTTTTTTTTTTTTTTGTAAGGATTTAAAGTAGTTCAACCATTGGCCTCGTTTGTATGCTTCCCAACATCATATGTTAACTTTGCATCAATTATAACTTTATTAAATTATTAATTTTAGATGGGATAAAAAAGTTCTCTATATTTGGGTTCAATGTGTGAGGGCTTTAGTATCATGTCTTGGATTATTATAAAAAATTAAAAGAACTTCAAAGCTCTCATTTTGCTATTCTAAGCAATGTTTGACTTCTTCGGTGTCTGAATTTTGAAATTAGTCATCAAAAAAGGTTTTTGTTACCCAAGCATTTCTATTAAATTTCCACACAACAGGCACTTGCTTCAAAATTTCATCGTCTTTCAAAAAACATCTTTTTTCATCTTAGATGTCACTCTAAATTATTGCCATTAAAAGAACTCCAAATACAGAAGGTTGGTTCTAAGTTAATTATAGCAAAGCAACCTAGGGCTATCTGCCTACAGGGAGGGAGGCTTTCATGGAGGACTTTCTAAGGGAAACTGGCTTGTATACATGTTACACATAGCGAAAACTACGAAAACGCTCATGCAGGCAGTCTTTGCATAGAATTGAACCCAGGTTGGAACTACCAGTGTTCAGTGATTTTACTGCTCAGTGGCTGGTGGGTCCATTAATGCAAGAGAAGAAGAGGATAAACACTGATAAATACATGATTACAGCTTTGCTAACATAAGTGAAATGATTGTAATTTGGCCTGAGCTCTGAGCTACTGGGCATACCAAGCAGTGTTGCCAACTGTGTACGTGGATGGTCTGCTGTAAAGAGTACGTTGCTGTGGCAATGGGACTGACGCTCGGCAGCACACTGAATATAAATGAAAACCTAGTTTTTGGATAAAGTATATGGAAACAATTAAAGTTGTGCACATGTGCAAAATAGCATTCCACAAGAAACTGTATTTTTGCTTTGCTGAACTCTTCTATGATACCTGCTTATTGGATAGAACCACAATATCTTTCACAATTGCAGAAGTATCTGAAGATGTGCAGTCTCCTTTTTCTTTCAAAATTCTTATTTTTAACCCAAAATTCATTCTTTGGGGGTAAAATGGATGCCTTTCCGTAAAAAAAAAGGAAGGTATAGAAAAGTGCAGCTAAAAAATTGGTTATTTTTTATTTAATTTTGTATAAAAATAATTAAATAATGTTGGTTAAAAAAGAGACATGAAAAAAAAATCAGGTAGAAGAGAGCAGTAGCAAAACTATTCGCAGTGTTACATATTTAAATTTTGGTGGCTAATTTACAATAACTGCATATAAGCTTTACTGAATCCCAAAATTAGACAATGATATATATTAATATATACAAATTTGTTGTCAAATATTTGCATTTACTAATATTATTTTTAAACATAAATGTAAGAGTATGTAAAAAAATATATCTATATAAGTACAAGTTGTACGATCTTAAATTCACTTAGTGTGAAATCGAGTTATTCTACTACTTGTGCAATTGCTGCAAAGTAAGTTAATAATAATTTATTTACTAAAGAAATATAGATTATATTATCTCCTAAGATTAATTTTAGTAGAATTATCTAAAAAAAGTGAATCCATAGTTAGTAAGTTTAATTCCTAAAATGTAAACTGTTAAAAATGTTTAACGGGGACTTGAATTAAATCATGAATAACAAAATTTCAATCGTAAAAAGAAATTAAATTAAAAGCAAGTAATCATTGCCATTGATCGGAAATTAGTTGACTTTCCAAGGAGAACAAATCAATTCCCGTTCAATGAACAATAATTAAGAAATAAATACGAAGGTGTTTTGTCCTTTACTCAAGTAATAATGCGATGCCAAACTGGTAATTTAAGTTACACCAAATATTTCCGTGAATTGAAGGGATCAAGAACCAATGCAGAGCACTAAAGAACTCATTCTGATTAAGCATTTTCGCTAATTCAATTTTGAGTGAAAAGCAATTTATGCAGTAAAATTAATAAATTACTCGAGTAATTGTCCCCCGACACCCTCTGTTTATGCTTTTTAATTCAAAACTATTTGTAAAAAATTAAACATTGGAAATAGGCATTAAGAAATACAATTCAAAGTAATTGAAATAAACATTAGGAAATATAAGAAATATAATGCAATCTTTGCAAAAGCAAATCAGAAAATAAAAATTTAAATTTAAAATATATATAATAAGAAAAGTGAATGTACATGAAGATATAAAAGGCCAGAAAAAGCATTAATTAACATACGTTCTTTCTAGTGGGAAGTGGGCAGTGTTTTCTTCACTTACTTAGAAGGGTTGCATTTCCGAAATTCTTTATCAGCAGCGGGGCTTTGAATTATTTCAGTCGGCGAAACTTGTGTGAAGTAATTTATGGGAGAGGGAGTGACTAGGAATGCTTGAGAGACGTATGTGGTGGGGTTCTTATTAGAGTGAAACCGTCTGTTAAAATATTTTGAATATACTAGTGAATGGAAATTAATTAATTTCTGGCTAATTGTTGTGTCGTAACGAGGAAGGAATTAAGAAAAGGAATTTTCACCGTCAAAGAGCTATTTGACAGACTAAAGATTATGAAATAGGCCCATGGTTATCAGTTGAAGGATTTGTACATAGTGTAATTACAAAGCTGTATATAATGTAAAAAGCTAATTGTCTTCAGACTTATGCTGTTACTAAAAAAATGGTTCTATTTCATAATCACTCTTTTTAGATAATTCTACTAAAATTAATCTTAGGACATAATTTAATCAATATTTTAGTAAATAAATTATTATTAACTTACTTTGCAGCAATTGCGCAAGTAGTAGAATAACTTGATTTTGCATTAAGTGAATTTAAGATCGTACAACATGTACATATATAGATATTTTTTTTTACATACTCTTACATTTATGTTTAAAAATAATATTAATAAATGCAAATATTTGACAACAAATTTGTATATATTAATATATATCATTGTCTAATTTTGGGATTCAGTAAAACTTATAGTTATTGTAAATTAGCCACCAAAATTTAAATATGTAACACGGCGAATAGTTTTGCTACTGCACTCTTCTTCTACCTGATTTTTTATTTTATTTTTTTTTCATGTCTCTTTTTTAACCAACATTATTTAATTATTTTTATATAAAATTAAAATAAAAAATAGCCAATTTTTTAGCTGCACTTTTCTATACCTTCCTTTTGAAAGAAAAAGGAGAAAGCACATCTTCAGATACTTCTGCAATTGTGAAAGATATTGTGGTTCTATCCAATAAGCAGGTATTATAGAAGAGTTCAGCAAAGCAAAAATACAGTGGCTTGTGGAATGCTATTTTGCACATGTGCACAACCTTAATTGTTTCCATTTAATTTATCCAAAAATTAGGTTTTCATTCATATTCGGTGTGCTGCCAAACGTCAGTCCCATTGATACAGCAACGTACTCTTTACAGCAGACCATCCACGTACACAGCTGGCAACACTGCTTAGTATGCCCAGTAGCTCAGAGCTCAGGCCAAATTACAATCATTTCACTTATGTTAGCAAAGCTGTAATCATGTATTTATCAGTGATATCCTGTTCTTCTCTTGCATTAATGGACCCACCAGCCACTGAGCAGTAAAATCACTGAACACTGGTAGTTCCAACCTGGGTTCAATTCTATGCAAAGACTGCCTGCATGGGCGTTTTCGTAGTTTTCTCTATGTGTAACATGAATACAAGCCAGCTTCCCTTAGAAAGTCCTCCATGAAAGGCTCCCTCCCCGTAGGCAGATAGCCTTAGGGTGCTTTGCTATAATTAACTTGAAACCAACCTTCTGTATTTGCAGTTCTTTTAATGGCAATAATTTAGAGTGACATCTAAGAGGAAAAAAGATGTTTTTTCGAAAGATGATGAAATTTTGAAGCAAGTGCCTGTTGTGTGGAAATTTAATAGAAACGCTTGGGTAACAAAAGCCTTTTTTGATGACTAATTTCAAAATTCAGACACTGAAGAAGTCAAACATTGCTTAGAATAGCAAAATGAGAGCTTTGAAGTTCTCTTAATTTTTTATAATAATCCAAGACATAATATTGAAGCCCTCACACACTGCACTGAACCCAAATACAGAGAACTTATTTATCCCATCTAAAATTAATAGCGTAATCCATTTGATAAATCAAGGGATCACAAAAACATTGAAAATCTATTATAACACGCATGTTTACTCCTCTGTAAATAAAGTATGAGATGAAGGAAAGCATATGATGCTAACACCATTTTGAAAGCAATTCAACCTATGCCACTGCACAGAAATGATTAAACTCATCAAGATTAAATTCATCAAGGTTAAATGCTTGATGGCATCAG